AGAGATGCTAAAAATACGTTTTTTTTCTCTCGCCTCACACGCCCCACGGGCGTGTGAGGCTCGCCCACTTTGCGCGCGTAAGACTCGTACGCCACGCTTTACCGATTTCTTTACTGATTTTGAGAAAAAAAACAACTGTTTTGCAGTCTACTCCTTCCCCGATGTTGAGCCACCCTTATTCTGGAGCACAGAGATGACTGCAATCCCAAATCAACATTGGGGAGGGGAAAATCAAACAAGTGTTTCAAGATTTATGATGAGTATTGTAGGCTTGAGCGTATGGCTATGCATACTTAGCCTTTTGAAACAAGAAACAATTGGCATTATTTTTACTAGGGACGTTTCCACAACACACTCCCCTCCCCTTCTCCAAATCTCTCTGTCTCCCAAAATATAGCATGACAATATTATGAGACTAATGTGATCTTATAAACAAGACAGGGTCAATTTTGGTGTTTTAAATACTATTAAATAACACTAAAATCCTGTTTCTTCAAACTCGCAAAACAAATTAAGTTTCAGTTTTATTTCTGTCAGATATTGCATTTAAAGCCCTTCTCACTATCCATGGCAGGTGACAACAACAACAACAACAACACTTTATTTCACCCCATAATGTACAAGAAATAAAAATTTATAACAATAGTACAGACGATGATAGGGGCACTGGCTGCCCGAAATAACCTAAGAGTTAAAAATGCCAGGCAGCCTTTTGAACAATTATTATTGTTCATTTGAAAAGCTACGTTAAACACTTCACAAGAAGGTGAAACAAGAAGGGAAGTGGAACCAAACTGTGTCCTACACTTGTTTCTGGGATTGTTACTGGAGATGCACCAGTCACCTGTTGGCCAATTTTTCTCCCTGTTGCTAGTAACACTCCCAGAAGTCTTAACTAAATGCAGTTTCCTTTTCATTACTTAAGTGACAAGTATCCAGGTGGGTCATGTAGCAGCTGCTCGAAAGCTGAAAGCCAATTGGTTTACTACCCAAAACCGGAAAACAATGGTAAACAATGAATTACCATTGTCTAAAAGAACGAATCAGGAAAGGCCTTACAAGCAGCTCCTACATTTCCGGTCCTGGCACCTCCAAGTCGGTCTTCAACAATTTTGCACCTCACTTTTCAACCAACATCTTGATGTCTTGGTGTCTGCCCCTGAGCCACATCTTCACCCAAAACTTCCTTAGGTTTTCTCACTCCAACCAAAACACCCCTTCCCCTCCCTAGACTTGGTATACAGTGAACTCATATTAGAGGACGGGGATGATTAAAAGCCCGGGAAAGGGCTCTCTTGGAATTACTTGATGATTTTAAACCTGAGCTCAAGTTAAGCAAAGTTAAGCATACCTCACAAGACCTGTGCCTTGATTTTTCACGACTTCTGCCATGCCACATGGGTGAATTTTTTTATGCCACAAATGAGGTCAAGTTAAAGAAACGATGGAGGTGAAATCGAAGTTCCTGAAGTCTAATTATGTTACTTTGTGTCCAATTTAAAAACGCACGTCGCTCTGAGTGTCTATTCGGTCGCCATATTGGTTTCTTTTTAGGACCCAGTCTCATTTAGCGCGTGAGGCGCACGCGCGAGCTCTCCCAATACTCGTTTCACGTTTCTCGAGTACACTCGTCTTCCGCAAGGCCTGAGCTTCGAGGGCCTCAGAAAAAAATATATTCTTACGATTTGTGGGTGAGAATCAGATAAATAGTAAATCTTAATACGCCTAACAGTGACGAGTATTTCAACTGGCATAGGGGTAGAAATAGCTCCCCCTCCTTTCTTGATGTTTTTGTTTCCGCACTAAAATGCACCATTTCTCACACTGAAATGCTCGATCTTTCCCACAAAAGACACTAAAATGCTCGGATAATGCTCATAATCGGAGGCTTTTTCGTCACTTTTAAACGGTAACGCGAACAAAAACATATAAGCCGTATGACAACAGGTAGTCTCTTCTATGGCAAACAAAAAAACGTTCTTCTACACGGCTGTATTAAGGTAAAATTTAAATACTTTTTTTTTAATTTCGAGTTTAAATCAACATTTTCTTATTAAAAATGTTTAAATTTTCATTATCACTAAGAAAAGAACATAGTCCTCTAAAAAAGGCCACTAAAATGTTCGAAAAATGCTGCTTTAGCCTCACTAAAATGCTCGAAAACTGAATGCTGGCATAATGTACAAAATCCTATACATGAGTCAGAACTATATTCTGAGCTCAATATATGGTCATGGCACGTATAGGAATCGAGCTGTGATTAACGTGTTTGATAAACTAAGGTGCTCACTACACTAGCTAGCTTATATTTAACGATAAGTAAAATAGACAGGCTATTTTATAATAACAAATTACTTGACTTAGCATAGCGTTTACGTCGAACGTAAATATTTCTGCAAGTGGCCGCTGGTTTATTTACATGTGGAAAAGTTGCTTTGAAGCACTTTTGTCGGCCCATTTTTTTCCCTTACATGTTCTCACATCAGTCATGTCCAGTGAGCCAAAATAGAGCAAGCGAAAGAAAAGTTCTGCTAGGAGTGTAAAGCGTTATCAGGTTATGATCTCGTGAAAGCAGCGTTCCGATTCCGCTTCAACCTCGGTTCCAGGGTCCTGTCTATTCATTTAAATTTTGGTCTTAGGTGGGGGCCAGGTTGTAACTTGTTGTTTTATGTGCCACTGTAATAATTACAAATTTGTATTACTAATGGCAGTTTTAGATGCATTTAAAACCATTTCAGAAGACTTAAATTTGACATTTTCCCGGGATAGCATCCCCCGGACCCCACTAGTTCGATCACGCTTACGCGTTTGCATTAGCTTTTATGGGGTGAGGGTGATAAGTATAACCTATTATTTTCAAGGGATCGTCCTATAATGTTGTATAAAAGTGATAACAAGCCATAAAATGATTTTCCGTTTTTGTTAAAGCTACTTGTATAAAAAAAAGATTTCGATCATTTTCTCCAATACATAACATACATAGTTATGTATCCATAGGTTGGCTAACTCTTGCAAGTGTTCAGCATTTAAAGGGTAGGGTTAGAGTTCCCAGAAGTTTTAATTATGGCGCCACGCAGCCTTTATGTGTCTCATCACCCAGTGCTCTCTAATGAGACTAAATCGCTTTTGTATTTTTTGGATTTATTTATTTGAGTTAAATTCTTAAATTTTCCTGATTAAGTGAATTACGTCGTACGACCAACTGGAAAGTACGAGTGCTGAATTTGTGTAAAACTTTGTAAACTAGTATTAAAAGGCACATATCATTAATGAGATTTTCCTTGAATTTCGATCGCGAATAATGCATGAAGAAGAAGTTCCTTAAAGGGGCGCTGTCAAACGAATTCTTGTTTGGAACCCGGAAATAAATGGCCTATATCGCTGTAACTAGTTTTCAACTTCCCTTCCAAAAACGGAGGCTAGGTGCAAAACCTCTCCAAAACCTCCTTATGAAAATGCATGAATTTTATTTGGATGAGAATAGAAAAATCATTTTCATACATGTATCAGTAGTTCGCGCTTTAAAACAGAGGTTTGGCGCAACTCAGTAATGTCCTATTTGACCGAGACGCGGATAACACAACTTCAGTAAGCTTTTTGCCCTTTGCTTCTTCTGGTCTTCATCATAGGCGTACGGGAAATTTTTTGCCAGGAGGGGCGGTAAACCATTTGCCCAAAAAAATCTCGCAAGTTGCCCAAATTTTTACGAAAGAGTCGAAAAGAAATGAGGGCCATATTGCAACAACATAGGCCGTCCTGGCATATGAAGGTGGCTCGATGCAGTTTTCCAGGGGCAATACCAAGTCTGAGCATAAACTACGTCGCCATAAACAAACATTTGGAAAAATTGCGACCACAGTTGTATTAGGATGAAAATTTGTCATCATCAGGGTTGCAATGACATCGGAGTTGTCATAGCAACGAAATAACTCCATTACCTATGATTCTCGGCACGGGAACCTTACAAAATCGTTCACAGGAGCTTTTTTCTCCAATACGGTCGCCTCGATGTTCGTGAAGTTTGAGCAAAACCTTAAGAGCGTTATCGAGATATTTTGGAATGAAGTTTTTATTATTAGAAATACGGTAAGAAAAGGAAAATCTTGATTTTTGGCCGTTATCTGTAGAAAACGAAGCGCTTTTGACCTGCAATTTCACCTCATAGTAGTCTTAATCATTTTAAAAACATGTGTGAAAGATCGTGAAGATAGCTCTGCTTGATTGCTAGAATCGAAAGAAAGGTTTGATTAGTATGTATCGAGACACTGTTGTCAGTAGCGGTTCACAGTGTAAACATTTTGGTCTACTTTAACAAATTATCGAATAATTTAAACCGCTCGATAGATTTTTTAAAAGAATTAAGATTCTTCTCGTAATTCAGACTGAGAATTAGTCAGCCACTTCTTCATTTTCAGACCCATTGTAACCTGCGTAGCAAGCGTTTCCAGTCGAACTCGCGCGGAAACGCTTGCTATGCAGGCTATACCCATTGCTAAATGCTATCTGCCATACACTGATCTTCGAATGGAGATGATTCTAGAAAGTTATGCGAAAGTTTATTTTAATCAATTCACGACTGGAAATAGCCCATTCGAGCTAGTGCAGTACAGTGTAGTGCCCAACAAAAAAAAAGCTGCAAATATGTAAATTACTCATCACATGCTAGGCAACCACTGTAATGTAACTGGATTATTACGCCGACTTCCGGTTAATATTCAGGTCTTTAAAATAATTAAATAAACATGGGGACGTCTTTAAGAACTGGCTTTGCCCAAATTTTCTCTCGCTGCCCAAAAAATTTGAGTTGCCCAAAATTTGGGGGGGCTGCAGCCCCCCTCGCCCCCCCCGGCCCGTACGCCTATGGTCTTCATCACTAAAAACAGCCGTAAAATTACTTCATAGCACTTATGAAGTATAACTGCAGATATGTTGGGTTTGTTTGTATCTTGTGACAGCGCCCCTTGACGATAGACAAAACGTGTTACAAATGACTTGGAAAATTATTGCACGGACTCTACTCTAACCACCACGCCATCTTTGGCAGTCATCGTTGCGCCATCATGTAAGACTAGAGGAACTTGCGTCTCGGGTGATCGCACAAACTTGTACTTCATCAGAATTTTCACCAGGGCAATCTTGATCTCCAGCAGGGCGAAACGCATACCGATACAATTTCGAGGCCCGGCGCCGAAAGGCAGAAACTGAAAGGGATGGTGGGCGTCTTTCCTTGCACCTCGGAATCGCTCGGGATCAAACTTCTCTGGGTCTTCCCAGGCTTCAGGATCATGATGCAAGGCATAGACTGGAATAACAATCTCGGTTCCAGCTGGAATATGGATTCCGTTAAGATCAAAATCTTTCTGGCATTCACGATTTAGGTGTGGAAGAGGCGGACACAATCGCTGTGACTCCTTTATGACACAATCAAGAAATTCAATGCTTTGGGCTATTTCATAGAGAGCTTTCTCCCCTCCATTGGTGTCTAGGGCATCGGCAATCTCTAATCTCAGTTTGTCTTGAACGTCTGGGTTACAAGCCAAGTGGTACACAGTAAATGACAGAGTGTTGCTTGACGTTTCATAACCGGCCAATAAGAAGATGAAGGACTGGGCTACAACCTCGTCATCAGAGAGTCTGCTGACCCCTTCATCAGTGGTTTCATCAGTGGCAGTCATCATGAGTTGTAGCAGGTCTTTTCGATTTGTCTGTCCCTGATGACGACGACTGTTCAACATTTCTCTCCCGATACGCTCGAAATAGTTTACATCACTTCCATTAAGAACAAGTAACAAACGAAGAATTGCGTCTCCAAATGGAAGACGGGCAATTTGTCGGAGAAAGAAAGGCACGTGAAACAGTTTCTTAGCCTCTCGTAACATTTCGCTGTTTTCTCCCGTTTGTATTTTTGCATCTACTCCAAAAGCAGTCGCCAAAATGACTTCTAGTGTCATTTTACTGAACCAGTCCAACATGTCAACACTTTGATCTGTGAAAAACAGCAACAACAATATTAATTTTTTATTTGCATTACCATTTACACGGTTGGTCTTGCTTACAAAGGAAAAAAAAAACTAATAGTAAACTGAAATATGGAGATAGACTGCAAAACAGTCGGTTTTTTTCTCAAAATCAGTAAAGAAATCGGTAAAGCGTGCCGTAAGAGTCTTACGCGCGCGAAGCGCGTCTCTCCCCAGGTCTCGCTCACTGTTTTCAGCCTCGTTGCAGACCTTTTGTTTGGCTGCTCAAGCGTACTTGAATACGCAAAAATACGGACTGTTTTGCAGTCTAATATGGAGATAAAGTTAAAGTTAAAGATATCAAAAACCTGTATGAACTGTCCGCAAAATGATTCTACAGTCATTTTGTATTTTAAATGTAAAAGTAGGAAACATTTTCACTGTTACTAAGTGTCCGTAAATCTCCACGATTTACAGACATTTTACTGTCTCTGTAAATACAGTTATAAAGAAAATGGCATCAAAGGGAGTGCCCCCATACCCTTAAAAAAATCGACATTCATTAGTCATATCATCACATTACGTTGTTGCTTGACATACGAAAGACTATTAATTTGGCTAGACTTTGAGTTGCCACGTAGGGGCGGGGAAACATGCGACCAAAAAGTAAATTGTACAAAAACACAAAATAACTGAGTATTATGCTTCATAACATCACTTGAAACTTTACTTCATTCAGTCAATGGTTCAGGGTCCTTTACTCCCTGAGAATCAGGGATGGAAGCAGAATATTGAATATTGAATATTGAGTTTAGATTAGTTTGAATATTTGAAAATTTAGTTTGAATATGAATAAATGTACTTGAATGATGAATCTTTATTTTTCTAGAAAATTCACTTATTCGTTATGCTTCATTATTTTCGACTGATGTTTTGTTGGCCGGTCCATCCAGTGAGCCCGCGTTCCTCGGCTAGGGTAAGCCAAGGAACGTGGGCTCACATAGTCGGCTCGGTTATGTAATTCATTAGTACAGTGCTCCTGACTGGCAGCTGTCATGACCACGCAGTAATACCAGACTTGTCACATTACAACCCTCCTGTCACTCTTTGTCTAACTCTTCAAGAAAAGACCATTCGCGCTCGAGTCTTGTTGAACTCTTGCCTCTGTTTTTGAGTGAATTTTAGAATCCCAAGCTGCTATAGAAGACACGGTAGTTCATATAAGGGAGTACCCCCGGGGACTGAGCCAATGTTTGTAACCTGGTCAAGCCTTTCTCGACCAACGTTTACCAACAGATAATAGTCTATTGCAATGTAACTAGGAGCATGTCTTGTTTATATTTTGATATTTTTTTTCTGAACGACCTCTGCCATTAGGTAAAACTCATTGGACAGGAATACATTGTGTCTTGGCAGCCTGCAATAACGGCCTTGGCTCTTATAGAAAATCAGTGAGTAATGAGGGAGGTCATAATTGTTTAAAATAAGATAAATATGGAAGGCTGAATATTGAATATTGAGATTTGAATATTAATATTGAGGTTTGAATATTGAATATTGATGTCTGAATATTGAATATTGACAGTTTGAATATTGAATACTAAACACAAAATATTCAACTTCCACCCCCGACCCTGAGAACGACGTTGCTCTCGTTCTCCTTCGGTAGAGTGCAATGCCCCATTTAAAATATCAATCAGGGGCACCCAACGAGAATATAGGCATATTTTTATTCCCTAAAAATTTTTCATCTGTTCGGATTTCCTAGCTGAAAGTCTGAAATTATAGGGATCAAAACGTAACGTTTCGAAAATTTCAGCCAGAATAAAGGCTCCCGAAAATTCTAGGTGACCTTTTTAGGGTAAAACTCCGTTAAAAATAGGCAATTGCACCATTTTTCAGATGTTCGAAAATCCTGGGAGAGGCAAGCAAGCAAAAAGTTTTACAACAAATGGTCCGAAAATTCTAGACCTCAAATCGTCTTCCGAACAGATATTTTCCGAAAATTGACGTTGGGTGCCCTTGATCAATGTCCATGCCTATACCCTTCTACAGTCTCTACATAGGCTTGCTGTCCGGTAGGACCGAGAAAGCGCTGGAAATCGCACCTACTTTCTACGGAATGTAACTCACCCGAGTCAGTGATTTTTTCAAGTTTCTCCAAAAGTGTGTCACACAACTTCTCCACCAAAGGTGTCATCAGCTTCAGCTTTCCGGCACTGAAAGTGGGTGTCAGCGTGTTTCGGATCCGTTTCCATTTGTCGTCCCGTGAGGATGCCACGTTCTGTGCAAGAGTTTTGTTCACTGGCTTTTGGAACTGGAAACGATTGCGGAAGTTTGGAAAATCCTTGACCATTATTTGTTTCAAAAGCTCCGGATCGGCAACGACAAGCGATGGCCTGCCGCCCAGACAGATGGTGAACACTTTGCCGTATTTTTTAAGGAAGGCAAGGTGCATCTGATAAATACCATTGTATTTCCTCGCTTCAAGAAAGTTTCCAAGGAATGGAATAGGTTTGGGTCCTGGAACATTTAGTTTCTTGAGGTCAGCAAAACCTCTAGTCCCATACCAGTACAGAAAGAGCGCTACAAAAAGCAGCAAGGACACTGTGGCTGCAGGATGAGCAAGACTCTCTGACAATAATAATGGCTGCTCTAGAAGTTTTGTCACAGTTTCCATCTTCTCCACCTGAAGTGCCGCTAAGAAGTAAGGCTGGAGAAAGAAACACAGAAACTTTCAATTCAACAATGTCGTCCTTGTACTTTTAAGCATTTTTTGTTTACTCATCACACGAAAATACCAAAAAATAACAATTAGAATTAGTCACCGTCACAAATTTATAGTTTAATTGAATTGCAACAAACCTTTTGTGAAGTAACTGAATTAGGCCACCATATGAACGACAGATAACCAAAGTCGTTTCAGCATTAAAGGGGCAGGGAAGGCGTGCTATTTATATTGTCGTAATTTGTCGCGTCATGCTAGGTGCATGTGATCTAATCTCTCGAAATAAAGGCACTTAGTCAGGTTAGTTCGCACGAAGCCATGGTGCGCTGTTCTTAAAATAGGTCCGCATTGCGTACAAGTGTCTAGCCTGCGTAGCAGGCGCTTGGAAGTAGTGGGCACAAGAAAAAACGGGCGCGCGAGAAGGAGACACGCGTGTCACCCTCGCGCGCGCCCGTTCTCTCTTTCGCCCGCTACTTCCAAGCGCCTGCTACGCAGGCTAACAAGTGTCTAGTGCGGCCGTCCAATGCGAATTTGTATCATTGAAAAATGTGATCATAATGAAACAGCTTTTCAACTACACGTTGTTACGTTGAAAAGCTGTTTCATTACGGTTCGTAGCATTCTTTTCAGATTTGTGACAATGTTTTGTTCTTAAATACTCAGTCTTTTAATAGAGGTTACGTAACTACAGTTGATTATACCACAGGTAGCCCAAGCTCGAAATATGAGTAGGCGAACATCGGCATTGTTGCGTAACATTCGAAATATAAGGATTTGTATGGGAAAAAAACCTATCGTTTCCGTAACCTACGAAAATACAGTCGACTCCCGATAACTCGAACCTTCAAAAGAAATCGACAAAAGGTTCGAGTTATCGGGAGTTCGAAGAATAACCGAGAGTAACGTAGACTGTTCACAGTCCTCTATTTTTCCGTAAGATCATCGAGATCGAGCACTTTGCGTTACGGGCTGCCATATTGCATGAGTTTCAAAACCACTTAGGGGACGGGGGCGGTTTGGGAGGAAGCGAGAAAAATAGAGGGACATTTTTCTCGCCCCCCCTCTAGCTATAATCCCCGACGCCCGCCCCCTCGGTACATTTGAAAATCAAGATACCCGTGACGGTAAAACGCGGTATATCTAAACGATCTCACGGAAAAATAGGGGACTGTGAACAGTCTAAGAGTAACGTAATAAACAGTTTTTATCAGAGTGAAGATTTTAATCACATTTAATTGCCGAAATGTCAAGTGAAAATTAAAAGATACTTCTAGATTATAAATCAGAACGTAACGTAACAAAACATAGCCTAAACAGAGCATGGGTTTTACTGTTTTGAGAAGAAAAGCTGCTTCACGTTAGCCTGTGACAATCAACATCAGCCTCCACTAGTAAACTATACTCCTACAACAGAAAATCCAAAATTCAATGTTTCGGACGCCCGTAGACGGCTTTTTTCCCGACTTTTTAAGGGCTCAAAACATGGTTCGAGTTATCGAGGGTAAAATTATATAGAAAATGACCTGAGGGGAAACGAAAATTGATTCGAGTTAGCGGGAGTTCGAGTTACCGAGGGTAAAATTACAGTGAATGTATGACGGAAATCCAGGGGAAATCGATTTTGGTTCGAGTTAACGCGAGGTTCGAGTTAGCGAGGGTTCGAGTTATCCGGAGTCGACTGTAAAAGGATTTCAGCTTACCTTACATAAACTGTCTGTTGCGTCTCTCCTGGGTGGTCCATGGGACGATTTACGGCGGTTTTATGGGTCGTACTGTAAACGGTTTTCTCTCTATGTAAAGGATCCGTCCGGTGGATCCGTCGGGCAGCTTCGCTGGAGTCCCCAACCTCGGTAAACTTTTATATAAAGAGAAATCCGTTTACAGTACAACCCATAAAACGGCCATAAACATCAGTTTATGTAAGGTAAGCTGTTTTTTATTGAAATCCTTTCATTTTCGTACGTTACCGAAACGATAGGTTTTTTCCATACAAATCCTTATATTTCGAATGTTATGCAACAATGTCGGCGTTCGCCGATATGAATATTTCTTAGTATGTTTAGTTAAGGTAAAAAAAACCACTGCAAAAACCGTGTACGATCAATCTTGCTCAACGTCGGATCCAAAAGATCGTGATCAGTCAAAATAAATCAAATTGAAAACGTTACAGTCAAGAAGACTTTTGCAGGGAATGATCAAACAACGTGAAATAGAGTTAAGTTGCGATATTTCGACTGGCCAATACCAGTCTTCATCAGCCTTTTATTGAGATATCACGAATTTACAGAAATATATATGAAGTAAAATAATGACCGGAAATTACATAATATGACGTGGTATGGTGTGGCTACTTAAAAAGACAAGATAACAAAAAAATGACAGCTATACTATATATAGTTACAGTTCATCACGTTTATTGATGCCCAGCTTTATGGATAAGGTGGGCTTCACGTGCTTTCCTGAAAGAATCAAGCCCATTTTTAAGTTTTTCAATAGGAATCAAAAGCATATGATTGTCGGAATGATTACTGGTTAGAAAGTGTCCTGAAACTGTAGCATGGATGTTATTACCAGTACGGTTGAGTATTGGTCGTCTGTGCTCATTAAAACGGTCTTTGAGGCGACGTTTAGTTTCTCTAACATATTGTAGATTACACAGGCGACATTGAATCAAATAGATAACATTAAAAGTTTCACAAGTGATATGAGATTTGATGTGGTGAGTGTCACCTGTAGAATGAAAAGTGTATTGATTACGGCCATGTTCAATATAGGGTTCCTGTTGTTTTTAAGTAGCCACATCATACCACGTCATATTATGTAATTTCCGGTCATTATTTTACTTCATATATATTTCTGTAAATTCGTGATATCTCAATAAACCTGATGAAGACTGGTATTGGCCGGTCGAAATATGGCAACTTAACTCTATTTCACGTTGTTTGATCAGTCCCAGCAAAAGTCTTCTTGACTGTAACGTTTTCAATTTCTTAGTATAAATATCGACCTAGAAGCGTTTTTGGCTATCTCGCCTTTTGGACAGCCGTTGTCGGTGACCAAACTTATTATAAGTTCCTAAGTAGTCTAAAGCTCTAATACTGTACACCCCCCGAAATGATCCCTACCCCGAAGTGATCCCCAACCCTGAAATGATCCCCAAATCGACCCCGAAATGATCTCCATTTAATTTTAGGAATGGAATGATATCATGGCTAGAACTATGGCCAGTCGTGCAAAATGCACAACATTATAACTTAAGCTTAACTTGCCCACATGACATTAATTTGCGATTACACCTTGAACTGGATTAAACGAAAATATTATTATCAAAAAAATACACAGTCTAGTATATTTTTAGGAACACCATGAACTGCAACTGAATATAACAAGAAACATAACATTTATTAAAATTATTACTTAGGTGATTATATCCCGGGTTATAGAGAAAACTGCATAGATATTAAATTCTAAAAATGATGTTAAAACTGCATGCCTTGGATATTGAATTTTAAAAATGGTGTTTTAACACTTTTTAAAATCTTCAAATGATGTTGATGATGCAAAAGTATACATAAAGGCGATTAGATGACAAAAGCGCTAAAAAATCACGTAAACTGTAGCGAAATGTTTAATTAAGGTAAAAAAAACAAAAACAAAACAACTGCAAAGACCGTGAACGATCAATCTTGCTCAACGTCGGATCCAAAAAGATCGTGATCGGTCAAAATAGATCAAATTGAAAACGTTGCAGTCAAGAAGACTTGAGCAGGTTTCAGTCTGAGTCTTAGGTTTGTTTGTAAGTGCGTCAGTGCGAAGAATTTCAGAAGCTCGTTGTATTTGGATCTTAAGAAAGGTTTTGTCGTAGCCGCGATTACACTTTTCATTCTACAGGTGAGACCCACCGCATCAAATCTCATATCACTTGTATTCAATGTCGCCTGTGTAATCTACAATATATTGGAGAAACTAAACGTCGCCTCAAAGACCGTTTTAATGAACACAGACAACCTATACTCAACCCTACTGGTAATTACATCCATACTGCAGTTTCACAACACTTTCTAACCAGTAATCATTCCGACAATCATATGCTTTTGATTCCTATTGAAAAACTTTAAAATGGGCGTGATTCTTTCAGGAAGGCATGTGAAGCCCAGCTAAGACAATTGAGCCTCTGGGCATCAATAAACGTGATGAACTGTAACTATATATAGTATATCTTTTATTTTTTGTTATTTTGTCTTTTTAAGTAGCCACACCATACCACGTCATATTATGTAATTTCCGGTCATTATTTTATTTCATATATATTTCTGTAAATCCGTGATATCTCAATAAAAGGCTGATGAAGACTGGTATTGGCCAGTCGAAATATCGCAACTAAACTCTATTTCACTTTGTTTGATCAGTCGCTGCTAAAGTCTTCGTGACTCAGACTCGTACCCAGTCGCTATTTAAGTGTTTTTTGGGATGAGAGAAGATTGGGGATTAGTTTGAGGGTAATAAATCCGTGTTCTCCTACACTAATATAAAAAATTCCGCTTAAAATATCTTCATGTAACATGTAACTATGTGTCACTCAACATAACTATGCATCACTACCCATCACCACCTATCACTGTCCATCACCACCTATCACTACACATCACTACCCATCACAACCCATCACTACCCATCACAACTCATCACTACACATCACTACCCATCATTACACATCACTATCCATCACTACACATCACTATCCATCATTACACATCACTATCCATCACTATCCATCACTGTCCATCACTACCCATCACTATCCATCACTACACATCACCACCCACCAGTACACATCACTATCCATCACTACACATCACTATCCATCATTACACATCACTATCCATCACTATCCATCACTGTCCATCGCTACCCATCACTATCCATCAATACACATCACCACCCATCAGTACACATCACTGTCCATCACTACACATCACTATCCATCACTA